TGCCAGGTCATAAATGCTACATTTCACAAATTTTCGCCTTTGTAACTGCAAGTACAGTCCAGTCAAAAATATGGTTTTTAATACGAACTTCATGTACTTGAACTCTATTCCACATTGAAGCAACAGTCCAGCCTGGAATTTATTTTGTAATACTAAACATTATGGAACCGAAATTTTACATTATATCAAAGAATTGTTTCTAAAATGACAAAAATATGACCTTATTTCAAAATTATGCCAAAATATGCTGTAAAACCAAAAAAACTCTAAAATATGCATTTATATGCACAATAAAAACGACATAATTTCAATAAGAATGACTGGAAACATGCATAATTACATTTAAAAATAGGAATAAACCCTAGGAAAAAAATATGACATGTCATAGAAATCCGGGCCCTATTGATAATATACAAATGGATACAAAATCGAAAGTTTTTACAACTACAGTGGCTGTCTTGATATATTAAAATTTTTTATTTTTGTTAGTTAAGTTAGAATTTATAAACCAAATAGGTTCGAGTCCTCTTTCTTATTACTTCTCTTGATGGTGGCCAAACGTGTACTGCCTGTCGTTCTTGAGAAGAAGGTTCTTTGATGTTGTCCTGTGGTTGTTCGTGGCGCGCTGTATTGTCGTAGTTGTAAAAACTCTGGATTTTGTATCCATTTGTATATTATCAACATTGTATGTATATTTTAATGCTCAGAACATCTATCGTAATAGTAGTTTCCCAACTGTATTGATGATCAAGTCAAGGAGGATGAGATGGGCAGGGCATGTAGCACGAGTGGGGAGAGGAGGAATGCATATAGGATATTGGTGGGAAAGCCAGAAGGAAAGAGACCACTGGAAAGACCAAGATGTAGGAGGGTGGACAATATTAAAATGAACCAAAACATGTAAGGGCATGAAGAATTGAAATAAGAAAAATCTTCACCAGTCACACTGGATGGAACTGTTTTATCTTTTTATAATGCAGAAAAATACCTACAGGGTCATGTCTTATGTTATTTGGAAAAACATGTCCCAATTTTTCAGTCCCCCCCCCCAATCTTGTGGTGTTAAGAATTCAATCAGTATCACACTCACAAGTCTGGCAGTGGTATCCTGTCAACCGGAGGAGCATTGGGATCAGACTTGGTCTTCTTGGAGAACAGTGGATCCTTCTTGGGTTTCTTTTTCTTAGGCTTATCTGTTCCATCACCTTCAGCATCATCCTCCTCCTCTACGGGAAGGTACTGGATGTCAGGCTCTTTCGGCAGCCCATAGTACACCTTGGCCTTATTATCTGTAGGTAGGATGCATCAAAAGCACATCCAAAAACATAAAACATTTTTGGAATAATGATACATCAGAAAGCGTTAAAATCATATTTTTCTTTAATGACTGACTGCCTTTGGCATTTCATGTATGGGAAAATATTTGCTTGCAAACTGGGTTAATAATTGTAAACAATGATGGGTAGTTCAAAAACAGACAACATGATCACCCCAGCAAATGTTTCAAATAGATGTATACAAAAGAATTTCAAACTTGATTCAGTGTGAAATCCCTGTTTAATAAATTTGTGGGAAAATGGATTCTTACATTAAATTGGCATTATACAAAATTATATTAAAAACTGTTTACTTTCTCATAGTACTTACCATATATAATCATAATAAAATAATTTCTTCAAACAAGATATTAAAGAAACTATTTCTTTACATATAATTACAATTATGTAATCAGTAACATAGTTTATTTCTAAAATAATTGACATATGAAGTAAATAATGGAAGAATCACAGTTGGGATTCAAAGCAGTGATGCCACAGCTTTGGTGCATGTTCAAGACATGTCGTCACTCACCAAAAATTTTGTTTCCATAATAATAAACATTGGCAGATGGAAAACATGAGTATCAACTGATGTTTCAATCAGAACTGCACTAAATCAATATATAGGTTCTACAAGCTCAAAAGTTTCTTACATTAAATGCAGCTTATTTACTAAATAAAAATAATAAAATAGGGGAAAATAATACACTGTTTATACAGACCTACAGCTGGGACCAAAAATTATGTTCACTAAGTATCGGGTTTCACTAAATGCAGGGAGTAGTATCTCTGGTAATGATAACAAAAATGTTCTATGAGAACAGTGTCCAATGAGAGATGTCAGCCAGTATGTCATCCTTCTACACTGAAGAAGCTGGAAACGGGTTCCTCTTAAACACTGACCATTACCTACCAGATTATCTCATGCCATATTTGCCAAAGACTACAATGTAATATGTCAAAAAAACTTTGCGAACTGTAATGAAGAAACGCATTTTGCAAAGTAAAAGCATTCTGTGACTGTCACAGACATTAATTTCTGCCACCAATCTGTCCACAAGTACACTCACCTTGTCGAGTAGCCTCCCCCACCAGAGCACCCGCAGTGGCTTCTATTTGCTGCTTGTTGCGAGCAACACCCTCATACATATCAAAGTATAAGTGCTCCTGGATGATGTTAAGGACCACACTGTGCTTCTTCTCCTGCAGGTGTCTCTTTAGGATGGACAGTGTGTCCCTTGACATGCGGATGATAAACTCACTTGACCTAAAGCACAATACACTGTTACCTATGAATGGTGGGTCACATCTCTCTGCTGTGTATGCAACATATGTCAGTCAAACCAGTTGATCTGGATATATGTATGCAACAGCAAAACTAAGATCCTTGCAACGCATTTGCATGCAATGTGGCAGATAAACCATAATCTCGGTCAAAAATTAAGCAAATATAGCCTAGTGATGACCTGGGCATACAGTGTTCATTAGAGGAAAGTAAATAACTATGTGTAAACGCCTATTCTTGCTGTTTTGTTGTGGTATTTGTGCCTGCTTTGTTGAGTAGACAAGAGTGACACATGGAGAATTTGTAAATAATGCAGCACCATTTCTTCATCAATGGCTTTTAGCCCTTTCCTCTTTAAAGTTCTTTATTTCCACTGGCATTGAAAATCCCAGTACACATAACTACACAGAATATGGTAACAGGATTCTAACAGTGACCTCCGAAATCACAGGGAATCCTTCCTTTAGTGACAGCCAAGACTGGACCAATGAGAGTTCACGATTTTCTACATAAGGGCTCTATCTGCCTTCAGATCTATTAGTTCGTCTTGAGTTACAAAGGGAGAAATGTTTCAAGAACATTGAACAGGTCATGAGACGAGATGAAATCTTCCACACTTTTCAGAACAGTGTTAAATCTTCTGCTGCAGTGCATTTCATTGTAATTTAATGATATATATATATATACACACATACACACATATACATATACAAGGGTAATTCCAAAAGTAAGATCTCCTGTGTTTGAAAATATAAAATAAACATTTATTTTCAATTTTGGATACATCAGTTGAATCTTGAACATGTACTCATTTACTCATTTCTCTACATAATCGCCATTTCGGTCGATGCATTTTTGTCAGGGCAGCGGCAGTTTTTGTATGCCCATGTCATACCAGTTCACCTCCATGCTGTTCAGGAAACTTCGAACCTCAGCTTTCACCTCACTGTCGTTGTTGAAGCGCTTTCCAGACAAATGTTCTTTCAACTTTGGAAAGAGATGGTAGTCACTGGGCGCCAAGTCCGGACTATAGGGTGGATGGGTGATGATGTTCCATCCAAACTGTTGCAGTTGAGCGATGGTTTGTCGGGCAGCATGGG